GATCGTCTTCTCTATTATCTGTGTTGCGGTAGTTTCAATAAAAGTAACTGCTGTTCAACATTTGTTGGTTTTAACTCCAGCATTGTTTGTAAGTGGCAAAGAACACACCACCTCCAGTTAGTGTTGTGGTGGCGTAACTGCAGGACGATACACAAACCAGCACACACGTATAAATTCTCACAGCGGTGTAGGCCACTCACATAGGCTCTGCATAGATTTGACGCAGAACTGTAAATCAAGCTTAAGCTACACCAGCTGTTAACAGTGGAAGGAGCGTGGCTTAAACATTCTCTAGAGTTTAGACAGATGTGGTGATGGGAGGAAAAGGACTCAGGACTGAGAAAGCATTAAAAACTGTGCTGAATCTTGATGAGTAGTTTAAGACTTTTTTTTTTTTTCTTCTGTCATTATTGGAGCTTAAATATTGAAATCTACTGCAGTCAAGTCATACTTGTGTAATCTGTGCAGAAACATTTTAATATTGTGTAAACGGTGTTGGTCATTTCCACTTTTTTATGAATTGTACTGAGAAGTTGGATGCGAAGTAAATGTTTAAACATGAGTTTGTCTGGTTCTTTCTGTCAGATTGAGGAGATGTACAAAAAAGCCCATGCTGCCATTCGTGAGAACCCAGTCCATGAAAAGAAGCCTCCCAAAGAAGTCAAGAAGAAGAGGTGAGAAACTAAAACATTTAAGGGTGCTGGTTATATTCACCCAGTCAGTGAGGTGTGACCGTCTCAGAGCGAATATGGCGACTTCATATACACAGATCAGCCATAACATTACGACCACCTGTCTAATACTGTGTACACAGAGGTCAGTGTGGTGGCTGGCTGGTATGCCACTCTGCATTTCACTGTGCATCTTCTTTGAATCTTTTTGCTTCCATTGTTCTACTGTCAGGGGCTGAGGACAAGTTAGAGATAATTTAGACAAAATAAACCCCCCCACACTGACAGATTGCACCGTAACAGATGGTCAGTGTTATTCATGTCACCTGTCAGTGGTCAGAATGTTGTGGCTGATCAGTGTATAAGGCTGTAGTACACAGGTCAGGCCTGAAGACGGGTGTTTTTTTCATACCAGTTTAACACAGCGGTTCTGATGGCAAAGGCTAATTGTGCACGTCTCTGTGACCCAGGTGGAACCGTTCCAAGCTCTCTCTGGCCCAGAGGAAAGACCGCATCGCTCAGAAGAAGGCCAGCTTCCTTCGGGCTCAGGAACAGGAGGCTGCAGATTGAGGCGTCAGTCTGCTCGGTTCCTAATGCAGGATTTTGTTCTAATAAATCTATTGAAAAAGAGTCCAACCTCCTGCGTACTTTGTCATGTTACACTTAATATATCCCTTTAGTGACAGTGGCCTCCTCAACCACCTTATTGAACGACTTGATTTCTGCAAATTGACATACTTTGTACTTGCAGGTTGTCGTTTCCTTTGACTCCGTGTGTTAACAGAGCCTTTTGTTATGAGAAGTTGATGTGCACAAACTGCCTAAACTTGGTGCACTGCAAAAGCTTAAGCAAGCACTCACTGTTGTGGTATATATCATTCTTGTTGCATTTATTGCACCATTGCTTCAAAAAAAAAATTGCACTTTTTGTTTTGCTCCCGAACCTTGAAGTTTATATGATGGTGACGCTCCTTGACAGCTGCTTCAGGATCAAATGTCAGAGCAGTTAAATACAAAGGGGATTTGTTTCCACAGTGAAATTGATTGTCCATTTTATTGAAGATCTTGAGGGGTCTCACTATTTAGGAGTCTTTTGTGTGAGAGATTTTCTTCCACAGTAAAGTCTTAAGATTGTTCAGAATTAGTGAGTGTTCGATTTCCATCTGTTCTGCAGAACCTTTCAGTGCAATGCAGGCATACAGCTGCTTCTCCAGCTCCTCGCTCACATCCGATGGTGCTCCCCTCAGAATGTAGTGCTTAAGTGCATCACAGGCTTTGGCTAAGTTTGGCCTGGTCACCTCAGGTGTGCAGCGGTGCTTGGTGAGGTCACAGGAAGTGAGGCAGTCAGTGCCGTAGAGACAGTCCTCGTCCACGTCGCAGCGCTGCTGCCTTATTCCCTCTTGGAAGATGGCTTCAGGAACAATGTACCGTGCGTCCATCACCTTCAGGTCATGGCGGTCGTTGTAGCCGAAAGTGGTGGCGCTCACATCGCACATGAGGAAGCTGCCGAATGTGCCGTGGAAAATGTCCTCGACGAGTTCCAGTAGGCCGATTGAGATCTTGGCCTTGTGTGGCCAGGAGGGGGTGAACCACTGGTCCATGCTGCGCTGCAGGCCGGCCGGAATCCACACCTCGATGATCCAGGGTAGTCTTATCCCGTATAGAGGAGAATTTGACACCTTCTCTGTCACATACAGGTCTCCACAGAAGCCCAGTAACTTGGGCATGTGCTCTTTGTCTTGTAGGACTAGTGATAAGAGGAATTCATTGAGCTGTAGCAGAGCCCACGTGGAGCGAGCCTCGGGCAGTGATATGTGACCATCCTTATTGGCATCAGCTATAGACAGTACTTGGGCTGCTAGGTCTGCAAGGTTGGCCTGGTCTCCCACTTTAGCCTGGAAATACAATGAAAAGTTTTAAACCAAACTAGTTTCAGATCTAGTGCTGGACTCCGGTGTTTTAATGAGGGCTTCCTGACCTTCAGGTGGTTGAGGATCATCTCTCTGAACTTTTCCACTGAGGTCCCCTTGGTGGGCTTGTCAAAAGCTGCAGCTTCCTTTCTGGGCTCTATCTCATTTCCCAAATCATAATGAGGAGCCACCTCCATCTGGCACTTAATAACCCCCTCCAGGTCTCCCCAGCTCCCTGAGTAAACCTAAAACGAACAAGGTAGGCCTGGGCTGCAGCTCAGTTAATAACAAGTGTACTAGAGAGACAATGTTTGATTTACAGAAGAGGTCTGACCTGGCTGTTGGGCTTGGCAGTGAAGCACTTTCCCAGGTAAAGTGTGTCCTTGTCACACAGGCTGCTGCAGGCAGAGCCATCAATGACTCCTTTCTTATACTTGTCACACTGAAACATATAATGGGGAAACAAATGGTAACAGCACAAAAGGAACAGGGAATATAACCACCAGTAGTACTAAGAACGTACACTTTGGAGATCAGTAGATGCATACTTTATAGGAAACACTCACTATTGAGTTTTTGCAGTCGTGCCCACGACACAGCTCTGTGTAGGAGGAGTACTGCACATACACGATCCAGCTGCCCACGAACACTGCCAGCCAGGAGAAGAACAGGTATTTCATGTGTAGGTAGGAGAATCTGGCCTGTTGGAAACATTTTATTTAGTTGTGGATGTTTGTGTTGACAGAGTGATCCGAGGCCAGCCTGATGGATTTGATTTCACTCAGAGGTAAATAAGAGGATGAGCTTTGTTGCCTGAGGGTTGTCAGCCCTTCCTTTCATGTTAAGAGCACACAGTGTGCCCTTATTGTGAAAATGGCATTTACCTGAATATTTTTAGAAGCAATGTTAAGTCAGAGTAAAAATGCACAATGCATGGCTGTTCTTCACACTTAACAGTACAAGTAAAACTAAAGTAGTAAAATTGTTGTGCTAATGGACACTCAAGGCTGCACTGCATGGATTTCTAGAGCTGCAACAATGAATCCTTCGTCAGATCATAAGAAAGTCTCCCACCCTAGTGGAAATGCAGTATTATTTTGCTGGGTTGCTTTTTTCACTCTGTACTTTAAGCATATATTCCATTGAGAAAAACTTGAGTTGTCTCTGCACACCATGTTGTACCTGACTCTACTACTGTAGCTGCCTGGTGGTTGAACTGATGAATGTAGACAAGTTTATCTTCCAAATCACAATCTAATGTGGAGGCTGCAGGATGAGGGTTAGGTGTTAGGCAAGAATTGGCTACTTTTAAGGTTAGGGTAAGTCTCCAGGAAGTGAATTAAGTCACTGTAACGTCCCCTGAAATGGTGGAAACACAACATCTGTATTTGTGTATGTAAACAAGAGGCAAATTATTAAGCGATTTGGATTAAAGTGCTAGATAAATGATAAATGCAGCCATATATAATTCTATTTTTGGCCCCTTGGGGGCAGCAGAAGAACCTGTAAACGCTGACAGCCACTCAGGGCTAGGTATTTAGGTATATCTAGATAATACTAAGATGGTTTAATCCAGTCGTGTTCCCAGCGAAAAGACAACTGGCACACTTTCACCTTTCAACAGTCCTACTTGTTTTAGCTCTGTTTTTGGCCTGCACTAGGTCTTGAGAGAAATATCTACGTCTTAAGCAAGTAAATGCTCTTTGTTCATCTTGTGGGCCCTTTTGTGATGGGCAGTCAGTTTTATCAGAGCTTGTTCTCTGAAAACAGCTGCTTGCTATCTATGGAAACCAGTGAGACTGCATCAGTAAACAATGAGCTAAAAGACGCTGAAACACAACACAGAGCTGTAGGGGCCTGCGGTGTCCGTTGATAATTCTCGGTGGGTTCGTCACTACAAGTCACTCCTTTCATGATGCACATGCAGGTTGGCTGTAGGGGATTTGGAGCCAAGTCAGCTGTCTCTCTGCTAGGTGATTTAGGCATAAAGGGGCGGAGCTTAAGACAGGTAATAAGGAAACCAGCTGGTAAAGCAGCAAGGTCAGTGTAGCAGGGTTATCATATAGCATATTAGAAAGGGAACAGGCCTGTAAGTGGAACATAAATTACTTCCAAACTGAGCTGTGTCACAGAGTACATCATTAATCTAATTGATTCTAAAGAGGTGCTCTACTAATTAACAGTAAATACTGTTTGTGTTCTGGCTGGGCAGCAGTGGAACATTTAGTGCGACTCCAGACTCATTACCTAGTCCTTTAATTTTCTTTCTAATTGCCCAGCTGATAAATATAGTCTTCTTGGATCCATAATGGCATTCCTCTGACTGGAGAACAGTAGTGATCAAAATAGTGCAGTTGTTTTTTTCCTGTCCAGGTATAATTCTTGGGCTCATTGCTCGACAGTGACAAGTCCCTCATCCTTGACCCTCTGTCCCTTCCAGTTCCATTTATCTTTATGGTACGAGTATGTTTACATCCCTCTGCCTTCTCTTTCCTTTCACTCTGTGCTCCATCTTTCTGTGGGATCTTTTGGACCCAGAAGTTTGATGGTTTAAACACTGAGCATGAAAAAGGCAAATATTGGATTTTAGTTTTGCTATTGAAAAGGAAATTACACTCGCATTTGTCATTTGTATTTCTTTCTCTAAATGGATTTTCTATCCATTTTCTGCGATAATACAGAACCCAGGCTTTCAGACAGCCTTTATACTGTGTGACACTCTCTAATCTAATTTCTCTCCAAACAGAGGCCTTTATTCTCATCTTAGTCTAGACTGTGGAAATGCCATAAACAGACGTCGTTCATTTCTTCATTTCATTTTTAGCAAGCGAAGATTTGCTGGTGTTTGGCTATTGCTACTGCTTTTGCTGCAGCGCTACTTTCCACTTGCTGGGTGGATTTTATTTTATTTTGTAAATGCAGCCATGCTGTGTGGGCTGACTGATCCAATCATATTCTGATTCCAGTGCAGTCTACATGCAATTACACTTGTCATTAACATGTTTTATTCAGCTAATGGATCTAAACACAGATTACAGTTTTAATGTCAGGTGTAGGTGGGGTATATGCAGTATACTGTGTAAAGCTGTGATTTATGAAACCAAAACAATGAGCTGAAAGATGTTAAAATGCCCCATAGAACTGAGGTTTTTCTGTGTTTGTCAAGAGGACTAGCATCTTTGTAGCATGTAGCTATTCGAATTGAGAACCGGGATCTGTCTACATCTAATTAGAAAGCCTACGAATAGCCATTACGTGTTATAGTTTTCTCTGTATTTATAAAAGTACTTTCCGAGCACTGATTGTGCGGTTAATAAAACAAGTTCAGTCAACAGATGTGTATATTCCACCAGCAGCTTGTACATAAATATCATCGTACTCCCACCTAGCTGATATAAGAACTAATCCAATTATCAATGAGAAGATATTCACCCCACTGTATGCTGTTTGGATATGAACACACATTGTGCTGCTTTATCTATTGATTGGTTTACTTACAAATCTGAACTTAGAGACCCACAGCAAAATTAACAGCGGTGAACACACAAATGCTGTATGTACCTTCCATCAATTTTCCATAGGTGAAATGCATCAACAGCAGAAGCATTATGGAAATAACACTCCACTGAGAAACAAATGTATGGTTTGGCTTTTTTTCTAATCAATAGTTTGCGGCTTTCATTTCAACTCTGGCCGATGCATTTGTATCTCTGGGATTATGTATTGACCCTTTGTGAGGGGAGAGAGATACACAAACATGGCTAATGAGGTAATATTGATTGTGGCTGCTGTGACAGCTATTAATTAGAGACTGACTGGGAACTGTGGCCATATGCTGAGGTGGGTGGAAAGAAACTGTCAGTCATGATCTGGTTGAACTCCTGCCTCTACACACACACACACACACACACACACACAGCACTGCTATGAAAAACCTCGTCAAAACCTGAAAGCTCCATGGAATGACACAAAGAACTGGGTGCATGCTGTGCAGTTAGAGAGAGCCACCTGATGTTCAGCTGCTGAGGCAGAGAGGAGATTAAAGCTGATCAGGAGCAGCACATTACTGTTCTGACACTTAGTTTTGCAACTGGCACACCATTCATCCATTATGTATGATTATAAAGCTATCCCTCAGAGGTTGCCAGTTAATGGGCTGCCTCGCGGAGCCGACAAAACAGAAACAAAAGATGGAGGGGTCTGGAAGGGTAACAGGAGGTAGTCATAAAGAGTTTGATATCACTGACAAATATAAAAACAGTCGTACATTCAGCACAGGATCCTGATAAATGCTGAAAGGAAGGACCACCTGCGAGAATTCTGCTACAGCAGCGGCCCAGCGTGCCTCTCCACTTGTCACAGACTCTCTGAAGGAAAAAGGTTGCCACACTGTCTGCCACAGATCTGACTCATCACAGTCCAGACAGCATGCAACCCCCCACCACACACACCCACCCACATGCCACTACCACCACATCCACCCTCTCCACAGAAAGTATGCATTTCCACACTGACTCAGTGCTGCGACATTACTTGAGCAGCTGTTCTGTCTGTTGATGCTCTAACAGTCTAACACCAAGAACATGGCTTCTATATATACATATACAAATAAATGCAGACACAAGCTATTTCTGCTAGGGCTGCAGCTTCCTGTCAGGAGAACCCCCCTCCCATATCTCAACCAACATGTCTGAGCTGTGGGTGTGCAAAGAGACCGTTGATTTGAGGTGCAGGTTATGGGTAATATGATATGTTTACAGTACTGAACTGAATGTTGACCATGTTTTTGTTACTTCACACACAGCTGCAGCTCTGTGTCGGGGTGTGCTAGTGTTTTTGATGCATTAATATGCAGAATCCATCCAGGGCTTACAAGATATCAACAGCTAGTGGGTTGGTGCAAATGATTTATGACCAGGAATGATTTTTTAAAGACGCTCATACAGAGAATATACAGTTTGCTTGCCATTGTCATAACTTCTAAACTGTGTGTTTGAAGCATCCCTGCAGTATCATATGAAGACAAAGGAAGGAAACAAAAATGACAATTTGTGCTTTGTCAAACATGCTTGTGTTTGGTTGTTTTATCTGTATTAAAAATAAAGATTAAAATAAAACTGAATCTGTATATGAAACAAACCCAGATCCCCAGCTTACAGGACTCATCAGTTGCATAGCTTCTCTGAGAACGACTTAATGGCACTTCTTAAAGTTGTCACCGGAAGGATGAGGTGGCCTAGAAAGCTGAGCGATGCTGGTGGCTGTCCCCGGACACAGGCTGTCTCTCCCTCTGTTCACTGCACTTGACAGGCCTTGTGTCTAACATGCAGAGACACAAGCGGCACCAGCTGAGATGACACCACGGTGGACCGAAATTAGCACAGCAAATGGTTGTAGCTGGGTTTTAGATGTGCAACGAGTTTTTTTTAATCACTTCAGTCAACTAAGAAATGCAGTGACTTTGTCCTAAATTTGGGTTTCAGAGACCGCCACCGGCTTCCCCAGCAGAGTTTAATTTTACTTATGAAGAAAACCACAGTGGGCTGCATCTAATTTCACTCAGCTCAAACTGTTGCATAATGTTTTTCAGCTGCTCCCCATCTGAGGATGATCAGGGCAGCATCACACGAAAATGTAAGATGATTTTAACTGAGTGGTGGTGGAGCAGCATTTCTTACTCTGGTAACCTGCTTGACGAAAACAAGAAAGTCACATAGACACCGTCTGACTGGTGTAATATAAGGTGGTAATAAACTTTTACAGCCTCAGAAACAGCCCCGTTTAAATGTATGAATGTACCAGCTGGATGCATCATAGAAGTGGTTGCTACAGCAACGGGGATCAGGAGGACGGTGGATTCCTGTCGAGCCGTCGAGCATCAAGTGACTTTATGATTCACAGTGAGAAACCTATACAGTAATACCTACAAATTACCACCAATCCATATACAAAGCGTTCAGCTCAAAAGAAAAACAGCAGCTACTGGCTAAAAAAATAGCCACATCGGTGCTTCATAGGCTGAATACTCTCAAGGTCCGACTGCATCAAGGCAGGTTTTATATAGATATAGCCAGGGTCGATTCCTAATTTGACTTTAGAGCGGAGTGAAGAGGGATCTCCCAGAAGCTTACCTGGATGTGCAGAGGCTTTCTCAGGAGCCCCCATGGAAACAGACCTCTTGCCATGGCAAATGCAGAACATCTCATAACACCCGCTGAAGGAATAAATTCGGCGTGCAATTCGTAGGCTATCAGGCAACGCCTACTGGACGAACCTGAAATTTCCAAATGTAAAACATAAGTAATTGTGGCGGCAGCACCGTCGATGTGCGTCCTGATGCTGCGAGGCATCCGACTGAACTGCGTCCGGCGACTGCAGCGAAGTCAGGCTCATATTGGCCATGATAACTTCTCGGGGCGTTTGGACCAATTACGGAGAGAGGATGCGTGTTCTTGGTTAACCTCTTCACTTCATCTTTTCATTTTCACTTGTATGTGTCTTCCTTTGTTTTTTTGTAACAATAGCCTGTATTAAAAAAAACTTTTTAATGAATTTGTTGTGAAGTTTTTCATTGTAGAAACTACCAATTATAGTACTAATTATGCAAATGAATGAATACCACACTTGGGCATATTATCATCAAATAAAATCAGACCTCCCTATATGGTCAGATGTTTTCAGACAATTTGATTTTCTGCTCTATTCTTTGGGCTAACTATAAAATAAGAGGTTCATTTCCGAGATGTCCGAAATCCATCTTCTTATTTTAACATGTCAAATGAATAATATGCATTTACATGTGATTTGTGATACTTCATCATGTCACATCATTGTCACACATTCAAATCTTTATTAAACCCAATTGTTAAGTCTTATTCCTTTCATAAGCCCAGAGCATGGAATTTTTAAAGCTGCAATAATCTATAATTTATGTCAAGTGACTGTGTAGTGTGGGAGGGGTGGATTGTTAGTGCTGAATCCACAGAGAACTGTCATCTGACAGTACAGTTCCCCTCAGCTCTTTCGAGTGTTTTACCATCTTTCGGCTTTTGGTTTTGGTTTTACGGCCCACTGGCTTGGCTGCTGTGGTTCACTCTCACTGAGTGTACTAGTCTTGTTTCCAGCTGCAGCAGAAACATCTCTCCAGCAAAACACCTCTGGCTCACTGTACACTATCTGTCCAGCACGAAAAACAGACAAAACTAACGACTAGCTGGTGAACATTGTGGGCATTTAGCTGTTTAACAGCTGGATAATTTTCTCAGGAGCTGGTGGGGACTGAACCACCGCTTGAAGCAGAGTGAAATGGCTGAAAGCAGGAGTATCAGATCTTATTCAGCTTGACCACAGTTAAGCCAAGTTATTACATTTATCAAGTGGGGTAAAAAAAACAACAACATAAAACAAGTGATTCAACATGAGGGGAACCTCTGTGAGGAAGTACATCCATTCAACAGTGATAAGTAGTGTAGTGCACAGACTGAAGGTTAACTTTATATTTAGTGTTTTTACATTCTAAAGCAAATTTAAACTTCAGTTCCCAGAAATCAGCTAGCTTCAGGTGAGGTTTGTGAAGCCTTATTGGCTGAAAAGAAAAAAACAACACAAAAGGGAAGTGGCAGTCTCACTGGAGGATGAGGGACATCTCTTGAGATGCCTCACAGCTCATATTGGGAGGCTTGTGTCAGCTGATGAGGAGGGTGGAGGACAGGAAGCAGTTAGCATCACTGGGATCAGGAATCACCTCACCCTTGTTTTGAGTTACATTTTATAGGGTGTACAGTGTATTAACTATTTTCTTAACAGTAGGGGAGCAGAGGGAACAGGTGTCTTTATGTGTTCAGATCATATATGTGTGCATAACAATATGACACAAGCATAAATATCAGGAGCACTGTCTTCTTTATGTGTTCAGATGATATATGTGTGCATAACTAACAATATGACACAAGCATAAATATCAAAAGTTATTTTGTCTGCAGTTACAATTCTGGAAGTCTGCAACATTTCTAAAATTCTTACCTCATTATATTTGGTTGGGTCTCAGTGTGATGCAGACCTCTTGGTGCTATCATATAATTGAAGATACACAAGACTGTAAAACTGCATCTCATGGGAATGCACCAACCAGTAGTAACAGGCACTCTCAGTTATACAACATTAGCATGTGCAGTGCACGTAATATCATCCATCAGAATGGAGAACAATCCAGTGTTGTGTGGTTGTACTTTATGAAAATCCTTTGCTGTACTGCCTGAAGACACAACAGAGTAAAATATCTGAATATACTGTACAATTAGATACAACAGATTTAATTGTAGCAATATAAAGAATTACTGCAGTGCAACAGGGTTGTGGCAGCACTGCAAAAAATATTTATAGGGATAATGTGAGAAAAAACAAAACTGGCAGCAAGGCTTGGAATATTGGATTTTCCAAGAATCAGAGTTTTGGAGGAACGTTACAGGAGCCTAGGGGACAGAAACTGGATTCAGATAAGGTTTTTCCTGAGATTATGTAAGGCTGATTACCTTGAAGCACTTTGAGTGGGCAGATACAAAAGATCTATTTCCATATAAGAACAGACAAACAACAACCTTGGTGATGCAGAGGCAAAGGCAGTGGCACCACTGGAATACACAGAAAATATGACAGAGAAATGTGATATATCGCACTTCTCCTCAGTGCCTCATTAAGACAAATACAAACAATTATACATAATGTCTAATATCATGAAGGCTATTTTCACATAAACTTTCTTATTAATTAACACTGGAAAACATCTGCATAGATTTAAACTCTTTATACTCAAATTCAATTTGCTGTTCATGAACAACTATGATCCTTGTTCAGTCTTACGGCCCACACATGCTCATTACCTTGTTACCTTGATCATTAAAGAGATCATCAAAGCCAAAGAAACCTGGGTAACAAATAACCGGAAGTGTCTGTCGTGCCCTCCATCCATCTATCCATTTTTTTCCGCTTATCCGAGGTCGGGTCACGGTGGCAGCAGATTCAGCAAGGTAGTCCAGGCAACCCTCTCCCCAGCAACATTTTCCAGCTCCTCTGGCAGGATTCCAAAGCGTTCCCAGGCCTGATGAGATGTGTAATTTCTCCAGTGTGTTCTGGGTCTGCCCCGGGGAATCCTACCAGTTGGACATGGCCAGAAAACTTCCAAAGTGAGGCTTCCTGGAAGCATCCTGATTAGATGCCTGAACCACCTTCCTTGATTTTGGAACAGTTAAAATCTGCTGTTTGTACCTGGTGCATTTGTTTAGCAGAGATTATAAAGACAGTCACAAGGTGTTGGCAGTATTTGATGTCTGAACTGTTAAATTATAATTTGAATTATAAATGTGAAAGCAATTCACAGAAGAGGGTTTTAACAACACTGCTCTTTTGAGACAGAGTGGGCCTGCAACTAAGAAATAACTGTTGTTATGTTTCCCCCTTGTGGTGAGAGGGCTGTATTACAGCCAACTTCCTGAAGTTACTTGGATGCTGAAGAGAGGAATATTCAGATGGTGCTAGAATGGTTTTGTGAAGAATCTCAGGAGCTAAAAGGATACAAGAGAGAACACCTCAATAATGTTTTTAATTTGAATTTAATTACATTTTTTGTGGCAACTGTTTTTTGGGGATTTAGTGATTCCTGCCTATTTAGCTGGATCAGGTTCTGACTGAGAGTTCCAGTGTAGAGCAAAGAGGTACAGCAGGCTTTTAACTGATAGATCTGATGATATTCCATTTTGGTGTTGTCAAGAAACCAATGAAACAACATCAACAATGAATTTATTCTACTTCCAGACTGTTTATTTTGATATACTGTATCTTGTTCCATAAAGCTATAAAGTCTCATACAGATGCCAAGGGTACTTGACGAGACATGCTTGGTTGGGTTTAAGCACTAAACTACAGGGTTAGGTTAAGAAAAAGATTGTAGTTTGAAATTAAAATGTTCACTGATTAAACAACACATAATCACCTACTGGACATGAACACCTCTCTCCTGTGGGAAAACCTCATATTGGTCTGACACTGGACAGGCTAACACGTTGTTAGTTTTGTCTCTTTTTCATGAGATTTGTTAACAGTGATAAAAATACAGAATATGACCAGCCTTATCCTTTAAATGATCAGTTCACTGATTATTGTAGCATAGACCGCTTCCTGTGAACAATTTTTTTTGTTCTATTCTTACACTATATGAATATATGGATATAAAAACCATATATGAAAACCTGAAATGTGCCACTTAAACCACCATCCACTGTCTAACATAACGGGCTTACTAAACATTCAAGCTGCCCTACTAAAAAAGCTAGTGTCATTCCTCGCAGGTAGTTTCGGTCATTCTCTGGTCTCTGGTCTGATTTAGATTTTACAGTTTATAAGTTGAGAATTCCCTCAAAATATCTTATGCACCACATATGTAAAAACAAATTTGTTTATGGCACAGCATCTCTAGAAACATGCTGTACTGTATATAACAGATGGTGTGTGTTGCTTTGAATGTGTGTTATGTAAATGTGATGACTAATGTTTTCATGATGAGCCTATACAGCTTCTGAGGAAGGATTTAGGTAACAGTATTTGACATGATTAGCAAAACACTAACACTAGCATGTTAGCGTTATTGGAAAACAATCCCTTCATTGTAGATAGGTTTGTCAAATGTATGTACTAACATAGCAGCCTTTTATAGGTCACTGTTTTTTCTGAAATAGATCTAATATCACTTATGGCAATATTATCTAATAAGCTTTTTTAAATGACATAGTTTTCTTGTTTAAATAAATTAAAATATGACTCAAAAATATGACTGGCTAATCAGTTGTATTGATGAAATAGACTACAGTCTTATGCAAAAGTTTAGGCACCCCTTGATAAATAACAGATTTTGGTGATTTTTTATTTGAACAGATGTTAACACAGTTTCTCTTGGAAATGGAAAAAATGCACAATATTTTCTGCAAACAGTGATGCATAGTTACTTCTTATGCCATAAATTGAACAAAAATAAAAAATAAAAACATTATTATGGCATGGTGCAAAAGTTTGGGCACCCTAAGAGTTCCAGAGTCTCAAAGTCTCTCACAAGGTATCAGACCTTAATCAGCTCGTTAGATCTGATGCACAGCAACAGCTGTCATTGGTAAATGCCAATTTCAAAGCTGTACAAATACTTTGACTCTTCAAACCTTGTGCACACACTTGTGGACACCCAGCAACCATGGGTTCCTCTAAGCAGCTGTGTAAGACCCTGAAAATGAAAGTTATTGACGCCCACAATGCAGGAGAAGGCTACAAGAAGATAGCAAAGCGTTGTCAGCTTGCAGTTTCCACAGTAAGAAATGTAATTAAGAGATGGCAGATCAGGGGAACTGTGGAGGTCAAGATGAG